AACCATGGGGCAGGGAGTTTCTTATTCAGTCTGGATACACATTTGCTCCCAAATCTAAAGGTTGGCAAACCAACAGGAAGAGGGATTTAATTGCCCCTGCCATGCTTGGTTGGGCTCACTTGCAGGACCACCTAAGACTATTTCGCATAGATACATCTTGACATCTTGTTCTGGTGTATCTTATGCAGACTGGGTTGCATCCAACTAAATTCTATTGAGAGCAGACCCATTTATATTAATGTCCCAAGGTCAGTCATAGCCATGAATTTCAGGAGGAGGTCTACTCTGAGTATGACTACGGTTGAATGCAACCATTGTTTCTTACGACATGCTCAACATTTAGATAATGTAGATTACAGTACTTATTACTGGGGTGTTAACATTTAAGAATCAAAACTGCAAAGATAGACTTCTCAGCGAACCTGTTTCTATACCAAAATAATCATAGGAGACCAATTTCTTGGTCCAATTTCTTTTGCCTTCTGAGTTAAGACAGGTCACTACTGGAGACAGCCCTCCCCCACCTTTGGGAGGGACGCAGGTGGCACTGTGGGTTAAACCACAGAGCCTAGGACTTGCCGATCAGAAGGTCGGCGGTTCTAATCCCCGCGACGGGATGAGCTCCCATTGCTCGGTCCCTGCTCCTGCCAACCTAGCAGTTCAAAAGCACGTCAAAGTGCAAGTAGATAAATAGGTACCACTCCGGCAGGAATGTAAACGGTGTTTCCGTGCGCTGCTCTGGTTTGCCAGAAGCGGCTTAGTCATGCTGGCCACATGACCTGGAAGCTGTACACGGGCTCCCTTGGCCAATAAAGTGAGATGTGCGCTGCAACCCCAGAGTCGGCCACGACTGGACCTAATGGTCAGGGGTGCCTTTACCTTTACCTTACTCACGGAAAATCACCTGGTACTTACTCTGCTGTCATTTTGGGGTCATATTCCTTCTGATTTTATTACTCTGTTGCTCATTTGCTCTTAAAGTGCCTGTTGCTCCATTACATTTATCATTTTTAGATTTTTAAAGTTCTTATCTCTTACGATTAAGACACCTTGAGAGCTGAAATACTGAAGGACAGCATGTAATTGCAAGCAAACAGTTAATCATGCAATGTGATACAAGGGCATCCAAGTTCCACTGGGTTCAGTGGGGTTTGGTCCGAGATAAGTGGATATAGGATTGCTTCAATTGTTCCATTTAAGTTGATGGGACTTACTCCCAAGCAGCCATGTGAAGGCTTGCTCCGTAAACCTCTCTCAGAGCAGCTGATATGAGGATTGTTTTGAGTTCTTTTATCCCTATGGCAATACCTTAGATACAGTTCTAGTGGAAAATATTTTCAACCTTCTCTAATTTTAACCCTAGGAAAAAAAATATTGTTCCTACTATACAGTACTAATGAATCCAGCTGCATTCTAGCTCTGTGCTCTTGCAAGGCAAGGTACATCCCTGCTGAGGAAAGGAGCCCTCCCGCATACAAATTTCCTATCTTTTATATAAGCATCACAGCCACATAGATAGAAGTGATGTGAGCTCAGGCACACACACACACACTCACATGAACTAAGTGTAAGGTAGCCTTTCCAAAGGAGCACAAAAAATAGCCTAGCCTATAAAGTTAGTCTGTGCTGACTGGTCTTGTTTGCTTTTTCTGTTTATGTGCATATGTGGCAATAATGTCTATAGTATACACATCATAGATGTGCACGTACACATATCTCATATGTAATATCCTTTCAGCGTGAAGACATTTCAGCTTCACAGAACACTCTCTAGATGTCATCAATTTGTTGGGTGCAGAGGAACGGTGGGAGGAACCAGCTGGGGAATCACCAAGGGAAGAAGGCCCAGAGCTCTCAAGGAATGGTGGTGGGACAACATTGAGTGGCCAGAGGGAAAAGAGGGAAGAGACTGGGAAGCGGAGGTGTCAGAAGCTGAGGAGGTAGCAGGGCTTTGTGAGCTGGGAGAGTCTGTGGCAGAGAGAAGTTCAGAATCAGAGGCAGAGGCTGGAGCAAGAGGGTGGGAGGAGAGAGGCCAAGAGACAAAGATGAGTCAGGCTGGTGAAGAGTCACGTGTGTCTCCCGCTCCAGCTGCAACAAGCTCCCCTCCCCACTGGTCTCCCAGAACCAGGAGAGGCATGAAGAGGGTGAGGAGAGGTTGGCAGCACACAGGCGTATTCTCTGATTGCTTGGAAAAAAACCCTAGAGTAGAGAGAACTCAGGCAGCTGTGGGGAAGCAGAGACCTTCAGCAATTGCTTCATGGGGGCAAGACCAACAAGAGATGAGTTGCTGTGCTCATTAGGCCTGACACTCCTTGAGGCCTTGGTGGGCTTCCATCCTATGTCTCTGCAGATTTGCAGATCTGGCTTAGCAGCTCCCAGGATGTGGAGTCCTAACCAAGGTTTTGTTTTCAGGCATGAACTCTTATAATAAAATTGCTTGTTGGGATTTAAAAAACAACAACCCTGTTATGCTACTTGTGGAAAGAGCTTGCTCCTGCTATACTAGTCAGCCGAACAACATCAACCCTACCTGAAATTCTGCCTCTCTTTAATCCCGGAATGAGGAAATAATACCTATCTTTCAAATTTTAGAAAAAGTAAAGAGGTGTTCCTATGCGGTGACCGTATATATATATATATATAGTGATAGCAAATTTTTTTATATTACGTTAAAAAAAAAAGTGTTTGCAGATCAAGGCCCGGAAAATACAAGGGTGCCTTAAAGATTCACAAGCCTAGTGTGATATTTATCTCCTAAGGAATCTTGTCATTAGAGCGAAACTTTAAAATGAGCTGCCAGGTTCTATTAATAATTAATGGCAAAATGTTAGCACTTTGAGAGGCTGCCTCAAGTCTGGCGTGTTCCATTTAAAGTTTGAACAGTTTTATATTTACCGTAATTCCACCTTTCATCCCTTAATGTCGGCCTCTGAGGCAGGAATGACAAGTGAAGGGGAGTTGCATGTATCTTTTCCCCTGGCTTGTTTTTTTTTTTTTTTAAGGGAATAAAATAAAAATAAACCAAAAGCACCTTCATGGGGTGAGCCCTCATGCAACTCCATGAAATATTGCAGGGAGAAGCATATGGGTACCAGTAGTGGCTCCTGCCCCTTGGGACTGGTAAAAAGGTAAAGGGACCCCTGACCATTAGGTCCAGTCGTAGCCGACTCTGGGGTTGCAGTGCTCATCTCGCTTTATTGGCTGAGGGAGCTGGCGTACAGCTTCCAGGTCATGTGGCCAGCATGACTAAGCCGCTTCTGGCGAACCAGAGCAGCGCACGGAAACACCGTTTACCTTCCCACTGGAGTGGTACCTATTTATCTACTTGCACTTTGACATGCTTTCGAACTGCTAGGTTGGCAGGAGGAGGGACCGAGCAACGGGAGCTCACCCCGTCGCGGGGATTCAAACCGCCGACCTTCTGATCAGCAAGTCCTAGGCTCTGTGGTAGTGGGGAGCCAATGACAGACAGACCTCTTGATTGGTTGTAACAAAGATGGCCTGTGGGTGGGGATTGGCTGGGGTTGGTGGGACCATGTCCCGAAGGGAAGTGGGTATGACTTTGAGCAGGAAAATGGCAGAAGGGAACGTGTTAAGCAACCCCTCCTGCATGTCCTCTGGTTAGAATGGTCACTTTCTGGGCACAAAGAGAGGAGAAATTCAGTTCAGTTTCCACATCCTGAAGCAATATGTGAACCAAAACAACACTCTCCTTCAAAATTAACACTGCCCTGAATTTTGCAATGCAGTTCTCCAACCAAAAATGTGTATATATTAGGGAGAAGTCTGTGTAGAACTGTATGATAGTGAAGGTAACAAAAAAAATAAATCATCAGCATTTGAGGTTGCATTTATCCCATTAAATGCATTTTTTTGTATTCAACTTTGCCTAATATACACAATTCCCCAGCAATTCGTATTGTATTTTTGTATGAGAAATTTTAACAGATGCAGAAATGTGTGGAACCAAGCTTAGGAAACCCAGACTGTCAGAACTGTTCATTCTTATTCCTGAGGATGCTTTTTGGTTCGTTTCCTTTTTAAATATTTTTTTGGGGGGGTGGGGAATTAACACACAGCGGTGTATAATGTACATTTTATGCCTGAGACTACAATCCTATATCTACTCACCTGGGAATGCATTCCATGGAACACAGTGGTTCTTCTGAGTAGACATGGCTAGGCTGGCACTGCGTTAATCGCGCTTCTTAGTTGGCCTTCCCGTGTGGAAACTCCTAACATGTGTCCTCCCTTTTAGATAATGTGCCCATTTTGCTCTAGGGAGGTTTGTCAGCAAGCCACTGTTAATTATGAAGGAGAATAAAATGCTACTAGTGGAAAAGGCTTACGTTCCCAACAGCATATGTTAGCTTTAATGCTTTTTGACAAGCAGCATGAGGAATCATTAAAAAAAGAGAGGGCGAGAGAGTCCAAAAGAGAAAATTGAGGGGAGTGTTATCTCACATAGATGGGGGGAAAGATTTCGATTTAAAGTGAATTTAAAGTGAAACTCGCTGTGGGACTTTTTTTCCCCATCGTGAAATTTTGGGGTATTGCCAGGGGGAGTTGATCTGCTGTGTGAGCTTCATGGCAGGTAGGTTGTCATTGCTGACCATGAACTGAGGAATGGCTCCTCCACAATGTCCCAGATTCAAGTGGCCAGATTCAATGAAACAGTTGCAGTAGCAGAAGCTAGCAGAATAAGTCCTTCTAGTGCAACAGGACTTCACTCTTCCTCCTCTCATGCCTCACAAATTGGCTTGAGGTTGTTTTTCCCGTGGGAACCCCCAGAACAGCCCATGGGGAGAGGAGAGGGAAGATGGTTCCATTGTTAAGGATAATAGTTTAATTTTCTGAAATGGAAATGTTTACTTAGGTTAAATTACTGCATATTCTTAACATGGGCTTTTCCCTTTGGCAGTAGCTTTCATGTGATTGGCTTACTGTGAATCACATGAAAGAGACATTCCATTCTGTTGTGATTGTTATTCAAGTAACTGTTGTTTTTAACTGTTTTCTGTCTTCTCTCTCTCTCTCTCTCTCTCTCTCTCTGTGTGTGTGTGTGTGTGAGAGAGAGAGAGAGAGAGAGAGAGAGAGGGAGAATGGCTGCTGAGAGAGCTCAGTGTGCATTGGTGTGATCTGTCTGAAGTGAAACAGACAGAGGAAGATCCCAAAACATTAATAGGGAGAAACCTGTGCAGGAGCTTTCTATAAGGAACAAAGTAAATAAGCATGAGAGTGTAAATATATTCTTCTCAGTTACATGTTTATGAAAGTAAAGGGTTGGTTTTTTAATACAAAGAGTCTGGACATTGCATATCATCAACACACACACACACACACACACACACACACAAACACACAACATCCATCTGGCAAGCAGATCATAATAGAATGGCGTTGAATTCCTCCCAAAGTCAGTTTGGTCATGGGCTAAGCTAAAAATAACATAAAGACAGTGAATCTGAGATGTTTTGTCCAAAATGTTTCACTCCAGGGTTCCAGCTTCACCTGCTCTCTACATTCAAAGCAGCATTATGCTACTTTAAACCATCATGACTTCCCCCAAAGAATCCTGGGAACTGTAGTTTATTAAGGGTGTGAAGACCCCTGTTCTGCTCACAGAGCTACAATCCCTAGCATTCCCTGAGCTAGGACTGATTGTCAAACCACTCTGGAAATCGTAGCTCTGTGAGGAAACCATGGGTCACCTAACAAGTCTCAACATCCTTACAATTCCAAGGATTCTTTGGGAGAAGCCAGGACTGTTTTTAATGTGGTATGCTAGTCAGTGCTATTCTTCTAGAATAAAAGGTGCCAGAACTCACCACAAATGCTTCCCTTATTTTCTTATAATGACAGTGGCACCCACCTCAGATGCCAGAACTGAGTTCCAGCAAGTTCTGACTGAAAAAAGCCCTGAAATAGTGCTTTCAATGTATAGTGCAAACAGGGTCTTTTTAAAGTGGACTACCCACATCAGCCATGCATTGCATGAGCCAGTAACCCAGAAATTTCACCTGCAGCAGCTTCTGCTGTCAGGAAGGATCCCAAAAGTTCTCTGGAAGTCATGAAAGTTAATCATATCTTACATTGCTTGCTCAGGTGTGGGGGGAGTAAGGGAGAGGGAACAGAAAGCAGCCCAAAATAATGTGTGAATTTACTTGTGGAAGCATATAATCTGGCAATCCTTTATGCTTCAGGCAATTGCACCTCATACCAGCTGTACGCAAGTGAACTAGCAAAAGCAGAAGGGAAGGCAGAATGTGAGCCAATCGATTTTCTGACTCTAAATTCCATCCAGTAGCATTTAATTCTCTTTTCTAATGCGGTCTGCACGTCTCCTTTCCTGTTTCTATTATCTCTGCAAATTTCCCTAACAACCCAGGCACTTGACAAAATCTTCAACACCATCAAAAAGCCACAGGATGCTGCCAATTCCCGTTTCTAGACTTTCCGACAACTTTGGCATCCTCCCCCCACTCTGGAAAAAAAAAAAAATGAAAGACCAAGACTGAAAGACTGGCATATCTTGCCGCCACTGCATTATCATACCAGCTTTTGATTTCATTCTTCCACTTGATGGATACATCTACTGCATACCAAAATAAAATAAAATAAAAATGTCAGGAGCATATTTATAAGGTGCCCAACAGGACAAAACAAATGGAGATGTGCAATACTGCATATTGTTCATTATAAAACATGATTAGTTTATGTATATAAAAGATACGGCGTTAAAGCACAGTGGTCCCTCTGAAGTTTACAAGTTTGTTACGGATTGATTTATTCATGAAATGCTTTGTTTCTATGACAACTTTATTGGTTTGCCTGTGGTCTAAATACATATAGGCATGGCAGGAATTCTCCAGTACAAAACAAATTACACACTACCTCCAGTACCTGAATAGTTTCTTGCCTTTAGGGAATCTGCAGAAACAGCCCAGGCAAAGGGTAGAAATCACTGTATGAGTGCCAGGCTTAGGAGGATTGCCTAATAAAGAATATTATATATATATATATATATATATATATATATATATATATATATATATATCACAGCATAAAAAGGAAAGATGGAAATGAGAGAAGGAGACTTATGGAAAGATAAAAGGGACTCCTACTGTAGCTGCAGACATACTAACACGCTGAAGAAAAAGCCACAGATCAAAGGGCAGTCTTTTCTGCCACAAATAATAGCCCTTACAGGAGGCCATTAATATTCATAACAGCGGTATAGCTACAAAAGAAATTGGAGAAACATTGTTTAGCGAGGGAGAAAAAGAGAGAATGAAAGCAGGGGGCATTAGGTGATAAAAGGATACCAAGACTCACAAGGAGAAGGTGCGGGCGGAGGGAGGGAGGGAGGGGGGAGAGAGAGAATAAACAACAACAAAAGATCAGAGAGCAAAAGTCAATAAAAGCATCCAATGGGAAGAGAGGGAGCCCTGAAAATCCTGAGGTGGTAATGAAAGAGGAGCCAATGATGGCAGACTGCATGTGGACAGATGCTGTAAAGCAGGGAATGGAAAAGGTTTTAAACAAATGTTATGGGAGCTACAAATAAACAGCGGAAAAGGAGGCAAAAAGGCAGGAGTCTCATTTCATTGACATTTCCAAAAGCTCCGTTTCCTAACTCAGCTTCTCCAACATGTGTGGGTTTGTTGTTGTTGTTGTTTTTGCCACACATTGTTTATAGCAGGGGTATGGCACTGCTTTCAGCTTGAGGACAACATTCCCTTCAGTACAAGAAACTGGGAGCAGTGACTTTTTTTTAAAGGAAGGATGACTTCCTTATTGCCTTTATTGTTGAATAAAATACTTGTACAGTTGGCTAGTTTCTGCATGCGCTCGCACACTCCTCTCTATCCTCCATCCGGGCAAGGAAGAAACATTACCCCAGTCCCAGGAGACATTCCAGCCAAGCAAAAGCAGTGAAGGAGGGTGAAAAGCAGAGCCAGTGATGGGTGTGGGTGGAGAGTGGGATTTGTTGGGTGGGGTGAGGAGGGGTGTGGCATGGGGAGAGTCCAAAGGCCAGGGACAGGGTGCCTGGAGGGGTTGCATTTGGTCCTCAGTCCTGAGGCTCCCAGTATTTGGGGTTTGTAGGCACTGCATGCCCCTTCATGGATCACTGCCTTGCAGTGGCGAAGGGGCTTGAATAACTCAGAGAAGCTATGAGCTATGCCGTGCAGGGCCACCCAAGACGGACAGGTCATAGTGGAGAGTTTCGACCAAACGTGATCCACCTGGAGCAGGAACCGGCAAGCCACTCCAGTATCCCTGCCAAGAAAACTCCATGGACAAAGACAACAGGCATATAAAAGTTATGACGCTGGAAGATGAGCCCCTCAGGTCGGAAGGCGTCCAACATGCTACTGAGGAAGAGCGGAGGACAAGTACAAGTAGATCCAGAGCTGATGAAGCGGCTGGGCCAAAGCCGGAAGGACACTCAGTTGCGGATATGCCTGGAAGTGAAAGGAAAGTCCAATGCTGTAAAGAAAAATATTGCATAGGAACCTGGAATGTAAGAACCATGAACCTTGGTAAGTTGGATGTGGTCAAAAATGAGGTGGCAAGAATAAATATTGACATCCTGGGCATCAGTGAACTAAAATGGACGGGAATGGGCGAATTCAGTTCGGATGACCATCATATCTACTACTGTGGGCAAGAATCCCGTAAAAGAAATGGAGTGGCCCTCATAGTCAACAAAAGAGTCACGAAAGCTGTACTGGGATGCAATCTCAAAAATGATAGAATGATCTCAATACAAATCCAAGGCAGACCTTTTAACATCACAGTAATCCAAGTTTATGCACCGACCACTGGTGCTGAAGAAACTGAAATTGACCAATTCTATGAAGACTTACAACACCTTATAGAAATGACACCAAAGAAGGATGTTCTTCTCATTATAGGGGATTGGAATGCTAAAGTAGGGAGTCAAGAGATAAAAGGAACAACTGGCAAGTTTGGCCTTGGAGTTCAAAATGAAGCAGGGCAAAGGCTAATAGAGTTCTGCCAAGAGAACAAGCTGGTCATCACAAACACTCTTTTCCAACAACACAAGAGACAACTCTACACATGGACATCACCAGATTTATTATATTCTCTGCAGCCAAAGATGGAGAAGCTCTATACAGTCAGCAAAAACAAGACCTGGAGCTGATTGTGGCTCAGATCATCAGCTTCTTATAGCAAAATTCAAGCTTAAACTGAAGAAAGTAGGAAAAAGCACTGGGCCGGTAAGATACAATCTAAGTCAAATCCCTTATGAATACACAGTGGAAGTGAGGAACAGGTTTAAGGCTTTAGATTTGGTGGACAGAGTGCTTGAAGAACTATGGATGGAGGCTCGTAACATTATACAGGAGTCAGCAACTAAAACCAACCCAACAAAAAGAAATGCAAGAAAGCAAAGTGGCTGTCCAACGAGGCCTTACAAATAGCGGGGGGGAGAAGGCAAGCAAAGTGCGAGGGAGATAGTGAAAGATACAGGAAATTGAATGCAGATTTCCAAAGAATAGCAAGGAGAGACAAGAAGGCCTTCTTAAACGAGCAATGCAAAGAAATAGAGGAAAACAATAGAATGGGAAAAACCAGAGATCTGTTCAAGAAAATTGGAGATATGAAAGGAACATTTCGTACAAAGATTAACATAATAAAAGACAAAAGTGGAAAGGACCTAACAGAAGCAGAAGACATCAAGAAGAGGTGGCAAGAATACACAGAGGAACTATACCAGAAAAAAATGGATGGCTCGTACACCCCAGGTAGTGTGGTTGCTGACCTTGAGCCAGACATCCTGGAGAGTGAAGTCAAATGGGCCTTAGAAAGCACTGCTAATAACAAGGCTAGTGGAAGTGATGATATTCCAGCTGAACTATTTAAAATTTTAAACGAGGATGCTGTGAAGGTGCTACACTCAATATGCCAGCAAGTTTGGAAAACTCAGCAGTGGCCAGAGGATTGGAGAAGATCAGTCTACATCCCAATCCCAAAGAAGGGCAGTGCCAAAGAATGCTCCAACTACTGCACAATTGCACTCATTTCACACGCTAGCAAGGTTATGCTTAAAATTCTTCAAGGGAGGCTTAAGCAGTATGTGGACCGA